GCGATGATGAATTGGATGCAACTCGCATCCCCTCGACGCTCCCCCGGAGGGTTCGTGACGCGTCCCGATGTACGCGCCCGGCCCCATACGACACCTACATATACACGTGACATTTGCTCGTACGCGATTTCGTGGGTGCGCGGCTACTTAACGATTCGCCCGGTTTTTGCACCCGGCGGTGACTCACGTTCTCGCACACATGTGCCGCGCGGCCACACGCTAACTTCGGCGGCCAAGTCGGCGGATTTTGAAATTAAATTACGAATTACGAGCGCGGGTGTACGCGAGGCGTTCGCCGCGGTGAGGCTCGGTGGCGACTTTCGAAGGGGTGGTTTGCGAGACTTTACGACTTGCAGTTATTTCCTCGGTGGCGAGCTCGCGGCAATACACGGGGAGAAACGCCGACAGGGGACGACGGGGGAAAGAGGCTTTGAAATGACTCGCTTACGAAACGACCTTTGAACTCACTCTAATTTCTTTCTTTTTTCCGAGCGAGTTTGTGCCCACTCTTTCCGCCGCAGCGTCACAATGTAATGTCAATACGAGAGGAGCCTTGTGGAAACTGTATGTGTTACTAGATTGTCTCGTTGGCAATTATTATAGTCGCGGTGGAATATTATGTATGAATATTCAAATCATCTATTATCGCTCAATTTATATCTCGCATTTTAATGTCGTTTTAATTAAATTTTGAAGACGAATACAGGGGTTGTAATATAACAATAAGATTTGATTTTAATTGCCTGAAAATGTCGTTATTTTTGCATCAATTCTGGAATATGGCGAGAAGATAAAAATACGGAGCGATGATTATTGGCATAAAATTCAATTATATCGACACAGAAGTCAATTAGAACGTGAATTCACATCTCCGGTACACGGTGCAGAGCGTAGGCTATTAATAGCTAAAAGATTTTAAATTTTCTTAGAGTAGAGATTCTATATACTACGCGGATGAACATCATTTCGTTTTACGATATAATTTCATTGGCATTCTTGGTCGGCGAATATTTCTCTCATTTACTCGCGCGGTAATCTTGTAAAGACCGACAATGCGTTCGGCAGTGTAGCCCTCAGCGGTGGCCAACTTTAATGTCCGACACCGCCAGTCGTTAGATTGATGCAGGCAGCATCAGTCGAGTATTAACCTGAAATGAGCGTATAATGGCGGTGTCGGGTATTTGATGCCTGTGCTCAGGATGCAACGTATGGCGTCCGCTTGTATGCAGGTCCTAGGATATTGGGCTTACATTATACATATACGCCGTTCATATAGTTAAAATTAAGCGATATATCGATATGCCGAGGTATCCGAGTACATATCATATGCGATTGTACATGAATATACACAAGGATAATATCGATTCAATTCATGCAAATTGCATCTACGTCAATTACTGCATTTATAGCATCGTAATTCCTTGAATTTATAACGACGATTAAACCTTTCACAATCTGTAATAAATATATGCTTCGTGCAGCTAATTAATTATTATTTAGAGTTTTAACTGGTTCTCCGATGTGAAGGACCGTTCGGAGCTCCAACGAAGTGGAAAAAGGCATCCAGTGGATCCGTCGACGTTAAGTCGACGTCCAAATTTCCAAATCGCGCTTGCCCGAATTTTCAAGCACGCTCGTTACGCGCGCGCGGTTAAAGCCAAGTCAGAATAGATTCAGGAATACTTACGGCTAAATTGACCTCGCTTGTTCAGGGCAGTTTTTCAGCCTGTACATTCTCGTTTCCGTGAAACGGCGCAGACAATTGACATTGTGATAAAGATTCGAAGTGCAAACCGATTTCTCTTTCTCTCCCGCGCGACTCTTCCGCCGGCTCCGCGCGAGAGTGTAAATATCGCACCGTATAGGATTTAGAGCGCGTGTTTGTGCACGTCCGTGTACGAGAAGTCGAAGGAAAAGTCTCCATTCTTAAAATTCCCGGCGCCCAGAGGTCCCCGGTGCGGCTCGCGACGATATTGGAAAAGCTATCGACGCCTTCTCATCTACCAGCCGGCGTTCAGCGTACGAACCGGACGGAATATTCGGACGCAATTTCTTTATGATAATTCAATTTATCCCACGGCCGCGCGTCAGCGGCCGCGCCAAGTGCATTGGCTCTCGTAACGGGCCTGTACCGATACATATACCTGACGTGCCCCCACATCCCCGACGGTCTCCCGGACCTTTTATTCTGCAAATGGTCGGACCTTATTCGCCCATACACTGCTGGGAATAGTCGACCCGATAAAGAATCCTACCCGTCTTCCGTGAATTCATTTCGCAAGTACCTCCGGAACTCGCTGCCTCTCTCCAAGATTCATGAAAATTGATCGATCCGCACCTTCGGTTGCGAAATTTCGCGCACGAGATATTCCCTTATTCTCGATCATTGAAATGCTCGTTCTCAGATACAACGTTCACGCGCGACGGTGTGTGCGGCGTTGCCCGCTAATGTTTAAATAATTCAACTTAAGGGGCCATTCCACTTTAACGGCCCAAAAATTATGCTTATCTTTAACAATTGTTTTCACATTCAAAATTTGCACTCCTAGAAATTGAAATTTGCATCTTCGCTCTTTCGCTTCCGCGGTAATGCTAAACGGTTAATGTTCTTTCGAATAAGTGCTCCTGCACAAAAATCCCGCGCTGCTTCTTTCATATAATTAATCACTACTTCTACCATGCTCTGACAGATTTCCGCCAGAGGGAATATTTTCTTTCTGAAATTTTCCTCTTGAAGCTTGAAGATTCGTTCTGAAAGCGATATTCTACATATCGCGCATACACGGCAAGATAAAAACAATCTCCTAACAGCAAGTCCTTGCTTCCCTCATCGACTGTTACTTCCAAATGGTTGAGCCATTCGTCGTGCTCCGTACAGCCGTATATATATTTCGTTTCATAATCCATCTCGTATCAATTTATCTTAAGCGTATCGAATCGTATCCGTGAGTGTCTTTCCCTTCTCTTATTTTCCCGTTTTCCCCGGCTTCCCCATCTCGTCCCCGACGTCCTAGCGCGAGCGACATTATCCGATTATTTCCGACCGCCATTTTCCACAGTCCCACAATGCATCCTTCGATTGCGACGAGTCTCGATTGTATTTTCGTAAGTGATATTTGCTGAGAAAACTTTGGCCACTTCACTCTAATTGTTTCTCCCTCCCCGCGCAATCGCGCGATGAACGAAATCCGTCACGGTGAATAAATATCCCCAAATAGATATACCGGACGAACCTGCACTATTTCCGGGGGAACCGCGATATTTTCTTCCACGTTAACATACATTTTTCAACTCTCATCTTCCACTGATAACCACGAGCTTTCGAAAGAAATAACAGAAGGACCTAAGAGCAGCCGTGTAACCGCGACGCGCAATGGTGGAGCTGCTCGCGAAGCGTATAAATCTACTATCGAACGTCGAGTTTTATCGCGAATCTTGTCTCTTATATATTTGCACGTTAATTGTCGAAATTTCCCGGAGATCTACCTCGAGACTGAACTATTACCCGACGGCAACGAATATGATTTATTAACGTCTCTAAAGTTTGACGAGATGTTGCAATTAATTCTGCGATATTCAAGAGGTATTCCAAGTACTTTGCCGGCTCACATTGCCAGGATGTTTGCTAATAAGGCGCATTCGCGGTTCGATGCGCAATATAATTACGGATAATTTGGAAAGAGCGGTCGTATCAATCGTGCGGTCTACTTGCGTATTTTCCGCTGCGCGGAGCGCTACGAATCGGCAGTAAAGAGTAACGCGAGAGGATTATTATCGGTCGTATAAATCGGTAACGCAATTAACGCTGGGTGTTAGGAGGAAATTACAAGTGTGTTATGGCTTACATATACGTCGAATAAAACGCGGCCGATACGTACCGTTATTAGAGAGCCGGGCACCGTTCTGTATCGCAAGTTGCTAATTAGTTCGCCAGATGGACAAACCGTTTGCGGTAAAATTGGCTCAGTTATGTAATAAGTCCTCGTATATTGCAGGCTCTGCTAACGGACTTTGGCGGTTCTACGTAACCACCCCTCCCCCTCGATTTCCAATCGTTGAAAAGGGAAAAAGGGAAGCGATGTTCCAGCGTTACCTAATCGATAATCTGCGTGCAATTCACGTGTTCGCCCCTACCGTATCGTATTTTCGCACGTTTATCATTTCAGTTGGAAAAATGTATGTAATACTACGTCCTTTAAGAAAATGACAAATTCGGCCGCGGTCTTCGAGCGATAAAGAAGCGTTACGATTGACGTTTCGTTTAAATCACGCAACGTTCCGCTCGCCATCGTCAAGAAAGGATTGCCTCAGTTATACGTTTTCAGAATGTGCTCGGCGCGGCATTATGGGCGAGGGGAGTTTCCGAGCTTACGTACGAGGGATTGCTGGTTATACGTCGGACGTTAAACCGGCTTGGAAATAGTTTCCGGAACTAATTTACTCGCGAGGGTCAGCGTCGTCGTCGTCGTCGTTGCCGCCGCCCCGCAGCCGCCGCCGCCGCCGCCGCCGAATATCCTCTTTATTTCACGTTCCGGCTATCGTCCTCGAAATCGCTGCGGTCGCGAAGAGCGAACTTCGAACACGGATATAACACCCGATCCATTCCCTGACTGCGAACCAATATTATCTTTGATCCAACGTCGTCAACCATAGTAACGCCTGGATATAGTTCGAATACCGAGAATTCCTATGCTGTGCCGGGCCGCGCGAGATAAACGTATGATTACCTGCGATCGAATCAACGTACCACGTACCGTGTTTATCCTAGTTTTGCGATCGCCGATGAAACACCCCCTCTTTATGTGTAAATATATACCCTCCCATCTTCTTTACAAATGAAATTGCGTGGACACAAGTCTTTTACTCCGTCTTGCGCGTCCAAAGTTACATTTAACATGTAGATACGATTTTTCATTTACCTCGCGTACATTTACTTGAAATTTTTAATTTAACAGACTATTCTCAGCTTTACATCCTAATTCAATTATCGCTCATTCCAGGTGAAGATTTATCCCCGTATAACCGCGACTCCGACAAGGAGTGACTATCGAGGTACATGAGAGAAGGACATGAACTACTCGCAAGGTAAGCCAATTTCGTTCGATAATATTACGCTGTAAAATATAACGTAGAAATACATCTCCCGACTCCTCCCGGCGACGGGCGATATTATCTACGCGGGAGGGAGAGAGACGCGTCACCGATATCTCCGTGTATCTATCGAATTCACCGAAGGTTTGTCCTCGTCCGATTTCCAGCCCGGCCAAGTGAGCGGGCGGCGGTCTGAAACAGTTCGGAAATTCACTCAACTAATCAAATACCGCTAAAACCGCTAAACAAGTTAGGTTAGCAATCTACGTGCTCCGAATGGCAACTCCGAACTGCTGCGGCTGCGAAGCGCGAAAACGCTCGCGACTGCTTCCGCAATCCGCACGCCATCTTCGCCCTCTCATCCACCTACATTCCTTAACGAGGGGAAACGACTCGATGCAGACGTGTACGGATCGCCTAATCGACGGTCCAAGTTACGCGAATGCAGGTTTTGACTTTGTCGCGTCCATCGTGTCACCGTCTGATTGGTACAAAGACGATCGATAGACGCGGCAAGCTCTCCGATTTACAATTCGAATTAATTATAATCGCGATACTTTTAACGCATTAAAATGTGAACAAATTATATTAACTTGATATCTTTGTAGAAAGAGTATTTTCTTCTTGAAATCGTGGAAGCAGAGATTAAACTGAACAAGATAATTGACAATAAAGCGTTTTTGACCATATTTTTCATTACAAAAATTTAGTGACGTTTTTAGTCAAACTGTCACTTTACTTTTTCATGATGATGAATTTTAACGTTGAATTAGTCGATAATAACACTTGACGAGTTCTCGAATAATTTATATACAAAACCTAAGGCTATCCTCTTATTCTATTTACAGAATTTATTAAAATCGCTAGGGGATGTTTAATTATGCCCTCCACGTATGTGTCCATCAAATAACCAATCAGTATATCTCGAGGATGCACTGACACGTGCTGTCGTCCCATCAAGATGTTTCCCCCTCTCGCGGCCTAATTGTCCTCATATTTTTGATATCGAACGTTATCTCGTCTACCTGCCTAATAGAAGAGCCGCACAGGGGACATGTCCGTAATATCTAAGCACCTTTCTGGTCATTCACATGCAAATGTATGCTGAGTCGGCCATTAGGCTCTTCACGGATGAGCGGATCCACGCCGATGTACAGCGAACAGTGATCCCTCGCTGCATCCTTTGTCCTTGCGACGTCTTTTCAGCATTTTCGTCTCGTTTACTATTTTACGGAGGGATACCTCTTCGAATGAAAAAGAGCGTACAAATTAGTCGGATCGTTAGTGAAATCCATATTAACGAGACACCCGATTCTCCCTCAGTGGAAACGCACTTCGGATCCCATGTTAATTCCAATCCCCAGGTCTTCAACAACGTACAAAGCGGAGAGAGCCGCGGCGACAGCGTTCTGTATTTCTTTTGTTGCGGTAATACTCTCCACTAAACAAGTCCTGAATATTTTAAACATATTTCACAGAACGCCACATAAATACCGTCCGAAAGAATATTTCTTTCGCGTTGTCGCGTACGACGAGCAGAGAAAAATGTACACGACTGCTGGCGAATGAGAAATGAGGATAAATCATTCGCGCGTCTCATCTCAACTGCCTGACGACGTTAGGGCACAGACAAGGCAACTGATTAGCCTTATTGAAACGCGGAAAGGAATCGCAAATTAAGACGAGGCGGTTGAATAGCATGAAATAAACGTACCACGTTGTCTCTACAATTTTTTTCACATATCAAAGGGTTACGATCGATAATTTACCTCGGATCAGTTTGCCCGAGGTCTCGCCGCAACCCCTCGTGCGAGAACGATCGCAGCAACTTCCTTTCGAAGGACGAAAAGGAAATGCGGAAAAGCCGAGGCGAACGGACACCGAATACAAGGCGGATGATGAATTTAGCCCGTTTTAAAGAGGTTATTGATGGAATCCATTCCCGGCTCTCTAAACGCATGGTCGATCGAGCGAGAGACCCAGGACCGTTAGACTATCCCCGTGCTTTCTCTCAACCCTTAACGTAATTACGGATCCCTCTCGCTCTCCCTGTCCTGGTCAAAGACGGCTAAATATTTCCGCTCCGCAACATTTTCTCTACCCCGTTCGCGCCAAGCCGATATTTATTCAGGCGTTTGCCCGAACGAATACCCGCCGTAAACCGACGTTAATATCAAGAGTTATCGCGTAACACGGTCTCGACGAGTAGCGCGTTTGCGCAGCTACCATTTCATCCAATTTGCAGCGCTACAGCGTAGAGTGCATCGAATGGGTTGCGTCGTAACGCGCGTCGCGTTTATCGATGTAAATTCACGGAGGAATTGTTCCCGAGTGCGAGCCAAAGCGAGATTATCTACTTGTTCATTGCGATAAATAACTCTGATAGAAACTATCCGTTCGACGCTCCGGCACGGCGGGACGAAATGGAATACGTGCTTTTAATTAGCGGCATGCGCGCGAAATCGCGCGATGAAAGGACACGGTCTCGATAGGGTACGAATCGCGCAGAAGGGGGACTTTGCGTGAACCAGCTTCCTCCGCATAGCTGTCTAAAAAATTGACGCTAATCCACCTCCGTCTTACGAATTAACTCTCTATACGGCGTCTCGTGGGAGGGGGGGGAGGAGGAGGCTTTCGCGAGTTGGGCCGCGAGAAAGAAATGCTAGCAGGAGCCCTGATCCGCCAACCATCCGGCTTATATATTGTAAATACCACGTAATCTGATGACCTCCCGGCGACGGTCCCTTCATTACCAGCGCGGGTGCCATTGTTCCGTAGGTATAATTGAATTCCCAAGGCAGCCGCTGCCGCCAGCTAACCCTCATCCTCTCGACATCAGCGATCCGAGAGAACCGCCGATTCCACGTTGGAACTCTACGAGACCCTGATTTACCCCATTCAGTCGGGAATAATGCGATATCTCGTCCCCCCGAAAGCCACATCGAACCTCGAGAGAGGGAGAGAGCGAGGTCATTTCGGCAGAGGAGCGGGTTAGTCTAAGCTCGTACACGATTCCGAATGTCCATCCGTTCATCGCCCAAAGTCTTCCGCTCGTCTCCGCGAATGTCGCTTCCACTTTGAGTGCACGAGCCAACAATGGATTCTATCGATGCACTCGAGAATGGTCGATAATTCGAAACTGAACGCCAACCTCTACCACGTTGTATTCCGCGTAATTTCGGCTTCGAACGTGGATTATCAGAGTTGCTCTCTGAACCATATAAATTTAATACGAACCAACTCGCAATGTACGTAAGGTTCGGCCGCTGTGCTCGCATAGGCGTGTAGAAATAATATACTTTCGCGTTTGCACGAATTCGTGCGAAATATTTTTCGAAATTTTCTTTGCGCGCAAATTTTAAAATCGATCAACAGAATGTTTTTTCGCTTGAGAAAAATTTCGGAGCACCGAGTTCCAAATTATAAATGATTGAAAACTAACAATGTCTATTTTTCTTTTTCGAACTGAATCGGAAGATGGAAATCATTCGCGTTACTTCATTTTACACTTTCATATATATTTTTTACTCGAGAGATGTATTAGTATTCTCAGTAACGTTCGTTATATTACATTATAAATTTTCGTGGATGACAACTAGCGATCGTCAAGTTCTTAATGGACTTTTAAGTGTCAGAGCGGTCGTTTCACCAGTGAATTGCCCGATTTACTTACAGCACACTAGAGTATCCCTTCCCCTCCCCCTTTGCAAGTCTGACGGCAATAATTTCACTCGAGCACCTCCTGTGTGAGAACTCTCACCGTAATCTCCGCGACACGTGTGTTAAATATGCATGCGATACAACACGCGCGATAAATATCGTCTTTAATATATTAAAATTATGTATATGACTTTTAATGTATCAGAATTATCACATCAAGCTCAAAGCGCAATTTTCCATTGTGCATAAATCTGCAGAAATCTCACGCGCGTAAAAGTAATAAATTGGGAAAGGAGATATCTTTTAATATTTCACCGCTTAACCAAGATATATTAAACTGAAAATTACTTCCCATTTTTGCGGAAAATAACTTTTGCGCGCGGGAAAGTAGAAATTTTTAAACGGTCTACTCAAACGACAGAAATAATCGACGGGGATAATCTGATAAAAACTGAAGTCCCATTACGACAAATTGGATATAATTCTGCTAGATATATTGTGGATAGTCCCATATTTAAATTAGATGGTTGACTTCGTCATTTATCAGATACCGCTGACTGTCAGTTCGAGATGATAATAAAGTGTGTAACGTGTCTGACTGCGGAAACGCCGCAGACATTCGCTAATCGTAAGTGTCAGGAGGTCGTCGCAGCATTCAGAGACCAGGATCACCTGTGGTGTCCTGGATGTTATGGCCTGTCGCATCTATCCTTCCAGGATCCCGCCGGTGATCATGAATAACAATGCCGATAACGCGTCGACGTCGCCGTATGCGTGTCCGTAATTAATGCTCGTCAGACGCCTGGGGTGGAAAAGTCACTTTTTCTCCGCTGCATCTCCGTGTTCCGGTGTGATCTACCTAGACGTCGAGGTGCCTTTACGCTTATTTTACGACACTGACAGGCGTGTACGTGTTCGTCGTACGAACAATTTCCTACGCGACTAATTTCTTGATGCATTCGTCCTGTTTTCTGTTTCGTTATAGAAACGCGATAAAAAGTAGCTCGGGATTAAAATCAGGACTGAAATAATATAACATCGTGCACATGTAGAGTGCAATACAAAAATTACACATCACGCATCCATATAATTTGTATAATCAGCTAATTAAATTGCATTGTAATTTGTGAGAATTTCAAAATTAAGAGCTTGTAATTTACAGAGATAAAGGGGACAGATGTAATGTCCGTCCATTTGATAAAAAAAAAAGTAACGGATATAACACTAAAATTTATGGCTAGGACAAATTGTACTTTTCTCCTTTCGTCGCCGATGAAAACGTTCCCCGATCGCGAGAACGTAAATTTTCATCAGCGGACGACTCCTTTGGAGCC